GAGGAGAAGTCTGAGCGCAGCTTTGACGCCTCTCCCGCGAAGCTTGGTGGCAGACTGGGCTTTGTGTGCGCAGAAAGGTTGTGCAAAGCTCAGGAGCCATGCTAGAACGGCGCTGGCCTGAGTTGAGTCGCGGCAACACAGGTGGGAGGGTCGGATGCACCTGTCTTGCATGTATGTCTGGGCTCGAGTGCATCTGAGGAGAAATCCGAATATGCGTTCTCGGAGGTATCGCCAATGCCGCTTGGCTGTGGTCTTTCGAAATGGTTTCTCGCGTGCTCGCATGGTTGTCTGCTACTTTAGCTGCCACGGTGCAGCTACTTAGGAGCAACAGCAGAACGGCAGTGAGCCCAGTCTGTCCCGAGCCATCCTATCCTTTGCTAGCTTCCTCCTTGCAGGAGAGATCCGAGTATGAGTTCGAGGAAGTGTCCCCAGCGTGCCTGGGCTATAAAGTTCCGACTAAGCTCGTCGCGGCATTAGCTTGGCATTTGGTGAGGAGCCACGGCAAATCGGCACCGAGCTTGGCCGTCCGCGCTGTGGGAATGATTGCCATATTCATCGCTACGACTCGCAGCGACGTTGAGGAGACATCCAAGCATGGCTTGGAGGATGTGTCGCCCACGAGCCTTGGCTACGTTTGCTTTTGCTTGTCAGTCGTTTCAGAGTTGTCATGTTCACCGTGCACCTCAGGAGCAACAGCCGGACGGTGCAAAGCCCAGAGCATGGCGTCTCCTTGCTAGTTGCACAAGAGCCATGTGAGGCAAAGTCCGGAGCAGACTCTCCCGCGACCCTCTGCTCTGCAAGTGGGGTGTAAATTCTGAATCCAGGGCTTCTGATGCACGAGTTTTTTTCTTCTGAAAGCAAATGCACACAAGGAGCAATGTCAAGACGGCAGCGACCTCGGAAAGTAGTAGTCAAGACGGAGCTGAAGACAACTGTTGCGAGTTTGAGCTTGTCTCCCCAGGAAAAGTCCGAGAATGGCTCTCCTTCGAAACTAGACTGCAGTGAGAACGCTGAGCGTGCTGTACTGCATTGCGCCCATTCTGCACTGCGCCCATTCGTGCGACGAGGAGCTATGTCAAGACTGCGCGGGTCTCAGTGCCGGTTCTACCTGCAGCGGGGCCCACGCTTCTGAATCATAATATACCATAATATGCCTTATCATACTGTAATGCACCATCAATGTCACTATGTGACATTGGCTCATGGCATCGCCCAGGAGAAGTCTGAAGGTTTCGGATCATCTCCAGCGAGACTTTGAGTGCACGTGGTTTTGCATTGGCCACGGTTTGGGGAGTCGTTCAAAACTGGCTGAGGGTTTCATGTTGATTTGTCGGATGTCATGCTGGCAGGTTGTTCTTGCATTGAAGCTGACATGTGAAGTGCACCAAAGCTTCCATAGCGTGTCTCGAAGGCTTCGAGCGCGGCTTGAAGATTACTTTACATGGCTTTGGGGCGCCAGGTGTGAATGCCGGTGTCGGCCCCCCCCCAACCCCGTCTGAACTGCACAACGTGACATGACCGTGAGATGAGTTTGTGGTGGCGGCTTCTCTCACCCGCGACGGAAGATTGCAGTTGGTAGGGGGAAACATTAGAAGATTTCATACTCCTACTCCTCGACCAGCATCATTTGTTGTGTGATTGAAACTCTGAAAGTCCATGCATCCCTACGCACCACTTACACATACCACCCTTCCACGCCAGATGCAACTTAAGCTTTGTCTAATGCCTAGCTCTACAGCTACAGCGAGGCGCATGTTTTGGTAAAATTTGGAGAAGGCACATCAAGACCCCCATCTCAGGAGTCATGCTCGCACGGCAGAGCTCCCAGTTGCTGGCTGAAGCCTGAACATTCAACTTCGTTTCATTGCGAAGTGCCAAGGACAAGTCCTACAACACAAGCTTCGTACCGGAAGAGGAGTCTGACGCGCAGGACACCTCGCCATCGCGCCTCGACTGGTTTGGGCTTTTTTTTCACGGCGCTGTGTCACAGCCCCTGACTTTCACCCTGACTCCCAGGAACCACAACGGGTTGGCATCCTGAGAGGCCGAAGAAAGGTGGGCGAACGAGAAGTATGTATGAAATGATATGAAATGATATAATGCGATGCGATAATAAGTAATGTATGATCTTGTGTTGCATCCCAGTGGGTTTTGTATCAAAGCATAGCATGTCGCAGTGTAGTGTAGTCTATTCTGTAAGCTCATGTGAGGTAGTGTGTGTGTGTGTTACGCTATGTTCTCCTATGTTATATCAGGTTCTGATACAAGCACCTGCATGTGAAACTGGCACAAGACCAGGCCGGCCTCAGGGCTCTGCCAAGAAGGCAAAAGCCGACTTAGGCCAAGGGTCGGGCCCCCGAAAGCCCCAAAGCTCCAGCGTCCTACTCCGACGGCCCACTGGTCCAAGGTTACAACAGTTGGAAGTGCTTAATCTTGGATTTGCGAATGTGCCTAATGCTATCTATATTTAATCTGATATGTAAGACTCCGCTTATATAGCGTTTGATATATTATAGCTCTCCGGCGGCAAGCCTTGAAGGAACCGCCCTGCAAGGATGTGCAAAGCTGTGTTGGCAAACGCCACCACTCCAAAAGAAAGTTGTGCAGCGTAACGGTTTGACATGCCCATCTCTTTGGGGTCCTGTTCGAGCGTTTGAGTCTGTGCATATCTGCATCCGGGCTTGTTGCCTACAGCTTCCCCTTGCTCCGTCTGGGACCCGTGGTGCCTAGGCCTCGGCTGGGCATCGTTTCTTGGAGGGAAGAGACGGGTGTTCATTGCTGTGCATTTTGGAATGCCTTCTCGGTCACTTCAAGAAGTCATGTATACGAGATTAGACAGATTAGACAGCTTTTCCATGTCGCCATGGGCCACTCTCTGCTCGTGGCTTCGATGGCCTTTGCCTTGCTGGGCAGCTGCTGGATGATGGTGGTTCTTGCCTGGCAGTACCCGTGGCTGCTGCATTTGCTCTTCTTCGTCGCATCAACTCTCAGTTTCTTTGCCTTGGCAGCTGCATGTCTGCTGCTCTACTTCATCCAGATGGCTTATGAGTCTGACGACGGTGCGCTGCAGCTACTGCCTCAAACGGTAGGCAAGCTGCTGAATGATTCTCCCTTCGAAATTGTGGAGAAACTTAGCAGAGCAATCATGCGACCACTGTATGACTGGATTCGAGTACTCTTGCTAGTGAACCTGGAGCTCGATGAGGACACCAGAAAAGAGATTCTTGAAGAAATGAGCCCCGAGTTCCGGCGTCGCGTCTTCCAGTATTCAGTGGGGCAGCTCCTGCCCAAGAGACTTCAGCGATTCGTTTTAGGTCGAAATTACAATCAGGCCCGAACGCCTGAAAACATGCAGGATTTGTTCGAGGCCACAAATGCCCCGCAGAATTACAAAGGCGAGATTCGAGTGCGTGGAAAGAGTTTGAGCCGCTCGCAGTCACTCAACGACCTTTTGGCATTTCTAAAGACGGTGGACAATTCACAGGCCTCCTTGAAGCAATCGTCAGTCATCGAGAAGATTTTGGCAAGCAAGGTGGCCGACGGGGCCATTTGGACAATGTCACAAGGAGCTGTCCATCAGTACGAGAGCCATCTGAGTGGCAGAGTTCGTACTTTCCTAGAAAACGTCAGCAAGAAGCCAGAGAACCGTCTCTTGCGAGCATCTTGGCCAGGTGAGTAGCCGTAATTGGCCCCTTCTTGTTGTAGTTGAGGGCCCTTAAACAGCAGTGTGTGTAGGCCCTGGGACAACAAACAAGTGGCAGGTTCCTTGGGCCGTCGTCAACTGGGAGCTGACTGCCGCCCGCACAGTCCTGAGAACCATGGTCTCTCTCTTCCGCGAGGCGGAGGAGGAACCGGAGACTTGCAAGAAAGATACCTGATGCCCAGCTGACTTGTTGAGTGACTTGGCAACTTCCAGCCAGAGCAGTTGGAGCCTATCTCTTCCAACCTCCCAGTCTCCCTGCGCTGTCTCACCCGAAGTTAGCAGCACTGACACAGCACAGTGCGCAATCGACTATCGGCTGTGTTGTGAACTTTTGCTTGGACCTTGCTCCGCAGCCCTCGGAAAAGATGGGCAATGATGTCTTCTGCCAACCGTCGCTGTGGTTCTGAATGCCTGGCAGTCTTACAAAACAACCTTCATTGACAAAACCCGAGGCAGTGCCCCCTTGCAGTGATGGCCTGCGGATCCAAGATGTACTCCTCCATGCGGTAAACAATACCTGCTGCAGCTTTGTTCACGGCGCAAAAAGGCTAGCTGTCTGCTTGCTGGTCAGATACGTAGGGACTCGGTCCGTGCAGCACTCTGCAAGTCAACCTTGCATGACTTCGTTAGACTTTCTGATCAGTGCCACCACCACAGTTTAAACGCGGTATCATCGGCTCAAAGATTCCTGGAAGCATTCTTGGTGGAATCCTGCTCAAGCCCAAGGTCACAGGCTTCTGAAGACCCTTGGCCTGCAACTTGCTACCCTACATGTACATGCGTGTTATCTGATCATTCAGACAGTTCTCACGGCCTTGTCTGACGAGCCTAGTGCAGAACTACCCAGGCTCCACGGCTCCACAACTGGCTTACGACACTTGGCAGGCGCAGCGCAATTGCTGCTTCTGCTGATTGGACGTGAGGCTGGGGGCTCAAATCTTGTCGTGCTGAGACTGCGGCAAGTTTCCTGGCGCGTGGCCTCCAGGCGGCTGAAGCAGAACAACAAATCTACTTCCAGCCGTAGTTCGGAATGGAGCCGCTGAAGGCACCAGGATTCTCGGACGAGGCCCGAAGCTAGGGTGTGCGCTGCGACGCAACTCCGCAACTCCTGAGCGCAGGAGAGTTTTGTGCTCTGCGACGCCGCGACCAAGGGATTCCCGATTCTACATGCTAGCCTTGGATTTCAGAAGTTGTACGGCTTTAACCAAGAAGAGTGTTTCGACAGCTCGTGCGGGGCACTGGTCGGAGCTGATGGCATCCTGAAGGATCCATTGGCTGTTACAGCAGCAGAACGACAGATTGGAAGCCCGCAAGCTGGACTGGCTGCGGGCTTCGCAGTCATGCACGACGTCATGGTCGATTTCGTGGATGACGTGGTGCACCAGCGAGAGACAAACTTCCCTGCTGTTCTCACAGTTAACCGCAAAAGCAACGGCCAGCTGTTCACTTGCAACTTGGCATGCAGTCAATCTCTCACGAATTCCAGGACTGCTTCAACGGTCTGCTCCTGCTGCTGCCACTGCTACTGCTGCTGCTGCTGCTGCTGCTGCTGCTACTACTGTACTACTACCACCACCACCACCACCACCACCACCACCACCACGACGACGACGACGACGACTACTACTACTACTACTACCACTACTACCACCACCACCACCACTATTGCTGATGTCCGGTGGTTTGAGAGGACGCCTGACTTCTGTAAGAGTGATAATGTGTTAGTTAGGCGCATTTTACGGTGATTTGTTGGCCCGGGGAGCTGCCTGAGGTGCCAGGTAGGGGACAAGTAGTGGTACCACGTCAGACAGCGCTGCGGGTGTTGATGGTTTCGTTCTGTTCTCATTTGGTTCTAGTGCGTTTGTCGAAGACGGCCCCACCCTTGGTTTCCATAGTCCGTCTCAGGAGGTCAGTCCGGGTCGCTTGATGGGTCCCAGGTCAGATGAGCCTCATGCGAAAACATCATCCAGAACTTGGCTGGTCTTACATGGTGGGCTTGCAGCAGGACCGAAAAAAGAAGACATCGTGAAAGGTAGAAGAACAAGAGAGCACGTGAACTGACAGAATGCAACTTCAACATGGCATGGCATCGCGCACGAAGTATGTACAATTCCACAGCAATGTGCATGAGTAGAGCAGAAAGTATGTGTGAACATGTACATACGAATGTATTTTTCGATGCATGTAAACAGAAGCCGGCCCCTGGCAACAAGTGCATGAGGGCATCAGGTGGCCACATATGATGGCCCAACCACAGTCACGGCACAGAGCGTCTACGAGACACGGGACGAGGCACGACAACACCACAGAACAGGAGCGGGCGTGGTGTAGTGCAGCATCACGAGGCACTTTTTTTCATGCGTTGTCGTGTGGTCTGGTAAGCCTTGTGGCAGTAGGGTTATGTCGTCCATGTCGTGCTCATCTAGGGTTATTGTGCGATGTTACAAGAAGGTTAACAGACATGTGCGAGAGCCTCTCATCTTTCACGCGTGAACTTGCATGAGGATGTCTCTAGCCAGATCCCTGTGCCCGAGCTGCCCGGAACTCGGTGGGATTCACAAAGGCCACGACATGAAAGGAACTGCGAAGCGCGTCGATGCGACTACCTCCCCTTCGCTTTGAACTCGCTCTCACTTCATGTCGGCCGCTTAGGCTGAAGGCAGCTGCGCAGGGCCATGACGGCTACAAGGCTCTCTGCAGCAGCCAAGCTCGACGCAGCAAGCTCGCTGAGCGCTTGCAGACGAAGGAAGCTGAATCTCACTTCCATGGCATCATGCCACTCAGATCCCTTCGGCCAGGGTAGCACAGGAGCAGCGCTGGACGGGCGATGCACAGTTCCGACATCTTGTGTCCAGCCGTTTGTGCTGTCGTACATGACGAACTGCTGAAGCATTTTTTGCATTTTCTGAGGCGAGATGCTTGGCGTTCTGCGCTGTCGCGACAAATGAGTGACACGTGCGGCAAGAAGATGCAGAAGTCGCGCTCGATGGAGGAGCGGACAATCGCGAGCCGCTTGGATGCATGGCGCCACACCGTCCGTTACTTGCATGGCACAGTTGTACTCACTTGTGCTCGATGGCCCGAGGTGTCAGCACGGCATGCTCTCTTTCAAGCGTGTTGCCAAAGAAGGAGAGCAAGGATGACGAGCTAGTGGTGGATGATTTCCAGCGAAGCTCCACTTGGAGTCCAGATGCTTGCCTGTCACTGAAACTGTTTGCTGTCATCTCGAAGCCCTTTCGCCCTCGTTGATTTCAGGTTGCCAAGTCTCAGTGGAAGGCTTACCAGTAGTCGCTCTATACACAAGGCACTGTCAGGTCAAGACATGCTTTTTGCGCTGT